AAAGTGTAAAACGGTTTTATGTTTCAGTTTAAAAAACAACAAAACCCCATCCAGCTATAACTTAAGAGAACCCAGCTTGGAACAGAACAATTTACAAGGCTAAACCCACAGTGCATTAATGTCACAGACACCAGGAATTTGCTTACTTAAGTTCACGATTAGAAAAGAACAGAAAGACCATGTACCACTGCAGTTAAAGTCACATGTGCAAAGAAGAGAAAAGAGAAAGAAATGCTGGTTAGTGTCTATTAATTAGAAAACCTTGGCAAAACCCTTCTTACTATACACAGTGTGTGTAGAAAAAGTATTACACAGTGATAAAGGAGGGTGAGGGAAGGGCATTTTGCTCCCACCCCCTTCCCCAAGACACAAAAATGCTGAATTGAAGAAACAGGCACAGGAGAGTATAAGATTCCTTCACAGTTATGCCTGTTCAGGTATAGTGGCCACAGCATCTCCCCACTGTGCCCACAGGAGATACCCCCAAGCATTGTCAGTGCTGGTGAGAGAGGTGCCCAGGAAGCAGCCAGAGGGAAGGAAGGAAGGAAGGATCCCCTCCCTCTCTCCCTCCCTGGGCAGAGCACACCCAGGGCAGGGCCAGCTGCCTGCTGCCCACAGGGCTCTGTGTGCAGCAGGGATAAAACAATGCTGGAGGGAGGCAGAGGGGTGGGCAATGCCAGCAGAGGGGTGGGCAATGCCAGCTGCACCGCTGGCACGGTGGGGACCCCGCTGGGGACGGGCCCAGAGCGATCCGCACCGCTCACAGCTGTCGGAAACGGCAACTTTTGGTCATCATTGATGGGAGGCAGCAGCCTGAAGGCAGGAGGATGCACACTCCTGCAGGAGACATCATGGCCCAAAGCCATCTCTTTCAGAACAGAAATTTGGGGAGTTTCCTTTTTCTTTTTTTTGTTTGTTTTCTAAAACCAGCTCAATTCCAAGAGCACTTCCTTCTTAAGGACAGCTAAAACACTGAGCCACCAAGTCTGGCTTGAGGCTTTAAACACATATAATGTGCACACCAGAGGGGAAAAGCACACAGACACACACAAGCTGAATGAGAAAACACCTGCACACACACCTCATGAGCAGCTGGGCAGCACTGAGCCCATGTGAGGAGCCAGCTTGGGACCAGACTACAGCACTGTTGCAGAAGATCGCAAGACTTTTGTTTACCCTTTGAAAAGGGTAGAATTACAAGTTTGGGTGAGCAAGATGAAATTGGCTTGAACAGGTTTCCATGTTTAGCAAGTTATGGATCTTTTCAGTTTCTTCAGCAGCAAGTGTTGGAAGTGAGCACATCTCAAACAAGACCTTTCAAAGTTTCTTATGTGGGGCAGGACCGGCTCCAGATATTCCTTCCCTACAGCTTTTGGCTGAACTCAGCAACAGCAGATTCCCAAGGCATTGCACAGAGAGCCCCATCCCAAAGGAAAAGATCTGGAGGCTTCATAAGGGTTGGGATTTGTTCAGATCTCCAAACTTGAGCCTTCCTGTGCACTGCCTCCAAGCTTCCAATGCAGACTCATCACCTCCCAACCCTGCAGATATGCTGTGGAGGGGAGTGCTACAATGCTTACACTTCCAAGAGTGCTGCCTGCTCAGCTTCCAGGTATGGGAAAGGACACTGAGAACCAGGGCAGCCTCACAGAGTCTGCACCCACAGCTAAGTCACATGGCAGTGAGAGGCCAACAGATGTGACAACACCACATGCCCATGCCCAGTTACAGGACTGGCAAAGTACTAAGAGTAGTATCTGCCCCTACGCTCCTGGAAGCTGCAAGAAATTCAAATATTTCAATTTATAGCCAGAAAAGAGAAAGCCAGCCTTCATGGAAACCCACAGCCATTTCCATCTGCTCTAGAACACTTGCAAGTCTCAGCTGCATCTGGTTTTGCAAGATCTCAGCATGGCTTTGTTAGGCTGTAATAAATCCGAGAGGAAAAAAACCCAAAGCCTTTAAAGTAGCACTTAAGTTACAGCATACTTGAGTTACAGGAAACGTGCCAACATGGAAGAGAGGAGTGGGGCACCACCACTCCTGGCTGGGCAGCACAGCACCCTATCAAATGGTTCAGCTTCCAGTGAAGGACATCCAGTGCAAGGATCATCTCCAAGGGGAACACTGACCACTCCATCACCAACAGGACGATGTTAAAAAAGTTAAAAAACCATTTGAATTCTAATAAACCCCCCCACAATTCCCAACCAGGCACAAACATCCAGACTGGGAGAGAGGAAGGAAAATATGTGCAAGGAGACAGTGCAGGATAGGAGAGGCATTCGGAGGAACAGCCTGCACTTGGCTGGCAAACCCTCCAAGTTGTATTTATGCTCAGCTCTTGGCAAGCTCGGCAGAAGTAAGGGCTGCAGGAATTGGATCAGAGCTTCATTCCCTATGACTCCATTCTTACTCATTAGCTGGCTATAAACAGAGTTAAACAAACCAGTCCACACTCACCGCTCAGTATTTCTTATAGTTTGAATTCCTACAGATGCCACAGATCCAACCGTGCATCTCAAAGCACTTGAAAGCAAGTTGAGTTTAGCCTCACAACACTCCAGTGAGGTAGGTATGACAGTGGTCCCCTGATTTTGCATGGAGAAGGGAAGCAAGAGAGACCCCAAAAAATGTCACTAAAAATACCAGAACAGGGACTATGCAGGAATCATGATTCCCCTTTCAGTCTGTCCTCACCTCTAAGCAGGCTGCACCTATAAACAGACCATCTGAGAGAGTCCTCTCCTTCAGATTTCATCAGGCAAAGCATTCATGCTGCTGATATAAGGAAGAGCATTTAATGTAGGAGTTGGCCCCTGTCGACAGCGTCCTTTTTGGCAGCAGGCAGAAAAGGCAGTGTTGAACCACAGCACAAAGATGAAGAAGCAGGCCCAGACTGAGCACACTCTGCTTCCGTCTGGTTCTCCATGTGTTAAAGGATTTAACAAAATTAAGACATGCGTTTCCTGAGCAGATACTGTCAGACAACCCCTCCTCACAGGGCAGGGAAAAGGAAAGGGGAAGGAAATCCTGGGAAAGTAAAAAAGTTTTGCAGATGTGCCTGTGACAAGGTGCTCTCACATACAGGGCACACCCAAGCCCTTGGCAAGGTGGTTCTTGTTCTGGCTTCACAGAAATGAGCCAACTCAGCCACAGGCAGTAGCCTCCACACAGGTATTAAGCGTTCCACAGTCTCCCAAGCTACTCCCAGTCTCTCCCACCCTGCTGGTTATGTACATCATAAAAGCCAGGTGTAGGCATCTTCAGGAGAGCCAAGTGTAAGATACTGTATGCTCACCTTCCTTTTTTTTCTTTCAAAGTAATAAACCAACCTATTTTTTCAAAGTAAATCACTGCGAAGGTCACAGTCAATAAAGGAGTCCTCATACAGACTACCAGAAAGTCTGATCTGCTAAAAAATGCAAACACTGAGCTTAAAGAGGGGAAAACACTACCTACTTCCCATCCTTTAAGGGCAAAGGGCATAATCCCATCGTGGACTGTGCCATCCAGTTTCTTTACAACCACATCTGGCACAATACACGGACTAAAAAGGACCCAGGAGACTACCACGTGCTTATAAGAAAGGTGCAGGAAACTGCAGATGTCACTTGGATGAGGAATCATCACTTTGGACCCTCACTCACCCAGGTGCTCCCTTGATCCCAAGAGAACTGTTGCACATGCCTCTCCACTGCTGCTGAAGCTGGAAGAGGATGGACCCTCCTGCCCTGTTCCCAGCATCCCTGTTTAAGGTGGCTGCTCCCCATGGACACCAGCCAGCCCATGCCTGCCATGGGAAGGGCTGGGAAAGGCCAAAAGGGACAGGAGGGGCTGTCACAGCCCTCCTCAGAAGACTGTGCAGGCTGGCAATGAAAGGCACTGACACACTGCTGGAATTAGGGCCTTCTTGTTTAAGACATCCATATGGAGGGCAGGCTAGATCCTGCCCGATAAGGAATATTTGCATGGCAAAAGACTGAGCAGAGTAAATTGATCATTTACATTCACATGGATCTCAAGGGACCTTCAGGTCACTGCCAGCCTTGCAGCTGGCTCCAGTCACTCCATGCTCTGTGCTGGCAATCACACTTCAGACACTGATTTGGGCTTGCCATTAAAAACAAACCTTCCAAACTCAGGTGTGACTAGAGTCACACATGAAAGCTGCACTGGTGGGCAAAGGCAGCCTCACAGACAAAACTGCATCTCTCAGAAGCAGATCCCAGCGCTGAGCAGAAACTCCCACAGTACAGCAAGGCCAAGAAAGGCAGGCAGATTTTCAACATTCAGGCATTGTTTGGTATTTCTTAGCTACAGCTGAAGGCGTACGGTGGGGAAGGACTCACTTCAGTGTTTTCAGAGCACAACAGTTCTCCAAAGCAAGTGAATGGGGCAGATGTCAGCCTTTCCCTGGCTTTTCTCCTGAAGGAAGTGTTTTTGCCCCTCTTTTCTCCAGACATACTTGAAGCTGGCTTGAGAGGGAGGGGCACATTCCTGCCTGCACCCCCTTCCCCTCAGAGAGGCTGTCAGACGTAGGGAGGGTCTGTGATTTATCTAAGGAGGAGCCAGATACTTACTGACCCTGTCCCAGTGCAAATACACAGCCTTTGCAGGTGCAAAAGGAAGCAGCAGTGCCTGGAGAAACATTCAGAAAGCCAGACAGAGGAGACAGAAAAAGGAAGCCTTGGGCCTGCCTGAGAAAGATGCTGACAAGTAGGACAGAGAGAAACAGGGGAGAGGTAGCAGGGAGCCATGACATGAAGAACAACTTCACTAGCAAGCACTGATTAAGTAAAAAAAAATAAATTGAAGAGCTGCAAATGGGCTGATCCAGTTCAAGACAAGCAATTTCACAGAGGGTGAAACCATCCCATTATGCCCATACAGGTCTGACACAAGAGGCACATGGCAAGGAGGAGAAGCAGAATAAAGAATAAAAGTCCCCTCACACCCCCACCCTTTGATATCCCCTCCTCCCCAGGTGAACAGGGACTGTGGCACCCTGTGCCAGGAGATTTCTGTGAGGGACAGGCGAGCAATGAGCCCTCAGGAGCAGCCACAGGTGGCAAAAGCAGAGACACAAGGGTGCAGGCGTGCACGGTGTAAGGCAGCGCTCCAGCAACAACTCTGACACTGCAGCCGTGCAGAGAAAGAGAGCGTGAGATTTACAGGATGCCTGGAAAGAGGGGCAAAGAAAAAAAATCTGTTCTGTCTCCAAGGCTGAGCTAACTGAGCCAAGTTGCCCTGTTGCCTCTTAAGATACTTCTTCCTAGATAAGATATCCCAACTCCCCCCTCCCCTTTCCAAATAAAGTGCAGATGGTCAAATATTACTGGTCCATCATCTGCCAGTTTCAGTCAGCATTGGGGAAATTAAACCCAAAAGCATGATATTGAAAAAAACAAAAATAAAAATCTCCCAACAACCCACCCTCAAAATCCCTTAGACTGAAGTCTCAGACTGTAAGCGGAGGACAAATTTATGAGATTTAGGGTCTATGAACTCTTCTGAGAGTTTGATGAAGGGGATTTTTTTCACATTAACAACAAGGCTGAAGTCCAAGCACTTGAGGACAAACACGATGCCGTCTTGCAAGCCGCTTGTGACCGCTTCCTCGCTGACCAGCGTCCACTGCTTGGAGAACCAGCGATCCCTGTCATACTGGAGGGTCGGGCCTGGGTTGAGGTAACGCTCCAGGAATGCCTGCCAAGAGTGGGACACACGTTAGCACCAGCCCCACAACTCACCCTGCTCTCTTCCCAGCCCCAAATACAGCACCGCGAGCACGGGCTTGCCGTGCTGCAAATTGTTTCAGCTTTGACACTTCAGAAGACATCTTCTCCCCAGCCCCTCTCAGCTTTTCAGGCCCAGGAGGAGACACAAACATCAGGAGATCCTCTTTCCGTTCATCCCAGCAAGTTTGCAAAGTTATAGTCCTGACTTCTGCCACCAGCACAGCCATCTGGCAGCAGTTCAGTAGAGCAGAGGTCAATTCTCCCCTACCAGCCCCATAGCCGATCCCAAAACTGCAGTCCCAGACAGGATAGTGGGTCTCTCCTTCAGGCCAAGCTAAGGTGGCAAACAGATGTCTCCATGTTTTCAGGCTGAGGGTGCAAAACTGAAAACAGAATGCAAAACACCAATTGACCTTGCTTGTATTTTGAAGTCCCTCTGCAATCCTAATGGCAGCAGAAATCCCCTTGCATACTTGGGCAAGGTCCCAGGTGGCTCACAGTGAGAGGGTGCTAAGCCCCATCTCTTGACAGCATTTCTGCTCTTACTGCAGTAAGTCCTGGGTGAATGTCCAGGAATAAACCCTTCCCTAGGACTGTGGGGTGTTCTTAGAAAGGAAGGTAGAGCGTGGGAAGGGAACTGTGTAACCCTTTTCCCTTATCATTCAGTCCTTCCCTGTCAAGTCAACAGTCACAGCCTAGGCATGAAGCAGCAAACTATGTTTGATCAAGCAGCTCATGAATTAGAAACACTGTCAGAGAGACAGAGATTTAGGCAATCATTAGCAATCCAAAATGCTAAGCAAGGCAGAGGGGGCAGAAAACCAACAAGATCCTTTGCAGGTTGCCACCCGCATCATCCTGCTACCAGAAGCCAGCTGGGAAAACTTTTGTGACTCAAAGCCACCCTTTCAAACATTTATTAAGCATTCCTTTTGCTGAATTGGATTCAAGAACAAATATCTCATAGGCACTTTCAGAAAAAAGGAGACAGAAGACGTTGCAGAGGAAATATTATTTCCCCTCAAGACCTGGTGCAACCTACACCACACTGGTCAATTCACAGGGAGCAACTATGAAAGCCTTCACTCACCTCCCTTGACAACTTTCTGTTCTGCCTGCACACACAGATGTGCCACCCCCTTCTCCCTCCCTCCTGCAGCAGTGTTAGAGAAAACATTCACTACCTTTGGTGTCATGTTGTTGGTGATGCAGAAGGACAAGTGTTGCAGGATGCTCTCCATGCTGTGGTACTGCTGCTGGCGGGTGGTGCGAAGGTACTTCTGCAGAGCCCTCGCCATGGAGGGGAAGATGGCCTGGGCTGCTTCTCGGGGGTCCATCATCTCTCCTGGAGCTTTCTGCTGTTCCTCCGCCTGGAGGCGTTTGATGTGAGTGAAAGCCTCTTCTACTGCAACCACGAGCCTGCAGCAAAAAAATCAGGGCAGCAAGAGTCATAACAAGAAGTAGGATGGGTCTGTGGTTAAGGCAGAGCCTGGGAGTCAGGATTTACAAGGCTCCTATTCCCACCTGCCATCAAGTCACTGCCTGCCACCAATTTACACAAAATCTTCTCTACTGACAGTCTGAGGGGTGGACAGCAGCTTTTCCTTCCTTGCCCAAACCATCCAGCAACTGAGGGCATAAACCAGGATTAAGGTTGTAAAGCCCTGAGCACTGCACTTGGTTCTGCTAGCACAGCATGAACATCAGCAACGTGACTCAAACAAGATACAGCTGCCCTGGCCTTTAATGTGGGTCTGAGTACAGTGGTCCCAGCACACAGGACAGGCAGGCACCCAGGGGGAGGCTGCCCACACCCCAGTGTCACCCAGGACTCAGCCTGCTCCGAGACACTCTGTGCTCACAAGTGCAGTCTGCTCCCATTTCCACCCGCTGGGCACAGCTGAATTGCCCTGCACCCCTCCACTGAAGGGTGGAGAAGGGTGAAAACACTTCTCCGTCTTCACTCCTAACACTGTAGCTTAAGGCACCCTCTGTAAACCACTCCTGTGTTGGCACAGGTGAGCAAACACGAAGCCCACACCATAAAAGGGGAACAGGTGTCTTATGACACTCATTCCTTTGGGCTAACTTGCAAGTGAGAGGCTACACTGCAGCTAGTGAGGAAAAAACCAATAATGGAAGAGCCACCCAACAGAACTCTTCAGCCCCTTCAGACAGAACTTGTTTTATACCTAATTTCCTCTCAAATCACCAATGACTGTCCACAATGATCTCAATATCCAGTGCATCAGAAAGCCAGGGACAGCTTCCTCACCACAAGCAGAGGTATAGCATACCTCATTCAGGCTGTACATGAGGAACAGCACAAGAAGTCCTGACCTTTGGCTGTTTTGTTTAATTTGACATGGGGGAGGTGGGGATGGAAATCAGTTTTAAACTCCTGGCCTGAAACATCTGCCTTATCTAGTGACTGATGGTTTCCCCTCTAAATAAGCAGTTGCTTTAACCAAACTCGGCAGGCACAGGAGATATGCCCAAGTTAGGATGCTACACTTCACAGAAGGGCAGGTTTAAAACTTCCTATTGCTCTGAGGCTGGAAGAGGGCCTAAGAGACATAGGCTATAGAGCACAGGTCAGACTGAAGCAGGCAAGGAGGGGACGTAGTGCCAGCACTTTCCCAGTGAAACAAACTGCCAAAAGAAAACTCAAGTCAGCTCCTTCCAGTTATGACACATTCCTTCCAAACACAGCTCAGTTGCAAGCCTGCCCGTAAGCAACTTGCCTCAAACTGTTAGGCTAACTACAGACTGCAATTAGGCTCCTGAGCAAACAGGGGCACTGTCTCAGGTCACCTCAACAAAGCATCAACTCTGCAGCCTAAGCACGACTGGCAGAAGATATAGCTATGTTTCAAAATAAAATGTAACTGCTTGTGGTCAAGTCTTTCTGCCTCAAAACACAAATATTCTCCTCACCTATGAATAAGCAACACCAAGCATTCTACTGATCCTGTCCCCTGCATTACTTCAGCCGACAAACTTGGGCATAAGTAAAAATAATGGGATTTCCTACAGGAAGTAACTACAGACTTGTCAAGCACTGGGCTGCTCCCTAACCCACGACACTGCATTAGCTTATCTGCCTCGTATACCTGAGCTCAGCCGCATGCATGTCCTTCCCATTATTCCAGTGGCAAGGTGCCACCGCCCCTCTGCGTTTCACGAGCTCCCTCTCTGTGACAGATTTACAGCCAGCGCTCCATGCTGGGCTGGGGGCACCCACGTGGCCCAGCCCCACAGCAGCAGGTGGGGCAGGTGCCTTACCTGGCCCGGCGTTTCCTGACGCGGCGCTCGTGGTCGGCCTCCTCGTAGTAGAGCTCGTTGTGGCTGGAGTCCCTGCGCCGCGCGGCCGCCGCGATCATGGCCCGCGACTGCCCCGACGCGTTGTTACCCGGGCCTGTGGGGACAAGGACGGGCACAGAGGAGACAAAGGCAGTGTCAGTGCCACAGGGCTGGGACGCACCAGCACCCCAGGGCAGCTGCCACTGTGCTCTGGGACTGCAGCCTTTGCAGCCAAGGCTATAAACCCTTCCCCGGTCCTCAGGAGCTCCGGGAGAATCCCTGCAAGGCAGCACAGGCTTAGCGAGGGCGTTCTGGCACGTGGACAAGGGAAGTTAGTTGGGATGGAGGGTTTCACACAATATACACAAAGGCAGAGTGAGGTGAACATGCCAAGGATGCAACTTACCCCCCATTATATATGCTTTCAGTTTGAAGGCAAGGGCAGCTGGAGCATATCACATTTCAGCATCAAGACAGTGTGAGAGCACAAAAAGTGAGAAGTTGGAAAGAGGAGAGAGACAAACACAAGAACATAATGAGACATGGAGATGAATAAATGAAAGCCAAACTCCAGACAGTTATTCACAGGAAGGGGAAACAGGATGCAAGGGACAGCAGGGTCACCTTCAGACAAAGCATAGTTTCCCAGAAGGTCAGATGCTGGCAGAGCAGCAGTCCCAGAATAGGGTGAGATGTGGGGTCTGTATGTGTAGTAGCTTCTCATGGCATTCTGAGCAGCACCTGCTCTTAGAGCTTCTGCTGCTGTTAGCAGATCCTCCACAGCCACAAGAAGCTGCAATCTGCTCTGTAACACCCAGTGTCCACAGAGCTGTCTATTCCAAGACCTTAACTAGTGACCTTAAAATACAGTACCAGGTCCTTCAACTCTCCCATGAAGCCCTCAGCTCTGGCTTTTCAGGTAGGGAGAGGAAAAAGGTTGCCCCAGAAGAGTTTACAAACTCTTCTTTCCAGATAGAGGGCAGAGGTGGGTCTACCCAGAGAGAAGTGGTAGTCTAGGACTAACTCCAAGCCACCAAGAGCTGATTTGTGCCAACCTGCTCTGGCCCACACCCTCAACTGGCAGTGGTTAAGGCAAATCAATTGCACAGACACGCTCAAAATTATTCTGCTCAAGCAAGGGCAACTCTTTTTAATTTTTTTCCTAAAAAGCCCAAACCAGATTCCAAGACAGAAGCCTGAAACTCAGCAGTGGGAAGAACAAGCACAAATAGCTTCTTAAGAGTCTAAACATTTCAGACTTTGTTTGACAGCCCTGAAATGGAGGATATGACTCAAGGGAGAGACTAGCTCCCAAATTTGGGTTACATCTGTAATTTGCCTCATTGACTACACCTGGCAATGAAAATCCTGGTTTTGAAGGTGAACCTTCCCACTCTGCCTAAGAGATTACAGCAATATGTTTTTCTTTCCTGGCTGCTGCAGTATCAAATACAAAAGCTGTCAACAAATTAGGCTGCCTTAATAGCATTACTGTCTCTTCACAAGAAGAGTATAAGAGACTGTCAGCTGCAGCCAGGACTACACTCTGCTTTGTAAGATGGACAGAATCTTCTTAAGGACATGCTTCTAAGCCTGAGATTTTCATGTCCACAAAGGCAGCAGCATTGCAAACAGAACAGCCCAGGCAACCAGTACTGCCCCAGAAGGGAAGGCAGGAGTTTCCAGCCCTGGCAGGCTCACAAGCTTGACACTTGGAAAGGCTGCCAGTCACATCAGCTTGCTTCTGGTTCCTTCTCTTCTAACAAAGCCTCATCAGCTAGCAGCTTCTGAGCCACTCACTCTACCAGAATGACAGTCTTTCTCTGAGCCTGGAAGTCCCACTGTCCCAGCAGGTGCTGCAGGAAAAGAGAGCACACCAACTCCTGAAGAGATGCTGCAGTGCAGGAGATGAGCAGCCAGCAATCAGAATGGCACACCCTGCAGCCAGCCTGGCTGTGGGGTCTCAATAGTGTGCAGACACCTGGGGCATCAGGAGGCCCTCACCTTCCCTACACCTGGCCTCACTGAGAGCAAGCAGCTGGAATGAATGATTGCACCCCTAGAAAAACACAGAGCATTTCTGTTTGCACGTCTGATTCCTTCCCCTCTCCAACACAACTCAACCAAGGGTAGCACTCCAGGCAGCAAAGGACACATGATGGGCAACCTGTCCTTCCCCTTCCTCTGCCAGGATGGGAAAATCTCACTGCAAGGATCTAAACCTCCAATTACTATTATGGACCCAGGAGTGCTACATGAGGTTGGAGAAGCCTTTAGGATAAGGTCTTTGAAACTCACCAAAAATAAAAAAAAATCCAAACAAACCAAAAAGGAAAATGAAAACAAAATTTTACACACCCATAAGGCACTGAAACTTTGTTGAAAGCAAAATAATAATGTCTCATGTTTTTCAATATGACAGATATTCTTTGTATTTCAGTCTCCACACCATGCACACAGAGCCACCTTGCCCAGCTAAGTCCCTTCAGTCTCCTCTTCCCAGCTCTCAAAGCCTTTCAATGCTAACAAATTCAAGGGTAGGACATGCCTTTGCCACATTTTGTCGCACGACATCCTTCACCATAAAAGCTTTGCTACTCAACTCTGACTCCTCCAAGGAATGCGCACCTCTATAAAGGCTGCTGGGCACACCCTGCTTAAAAAGCATGGCTTTCAGCGATAGGGTTTAAGTGTGTCAAATGATTAAGTCCAGTTTTCACTGCTTTGAGCATCCACATATCCACCCATCCATCCCCTTTTCTAAAGCCCCAAAGCTTGAAAACGGTTTGTAGGACAGGCAAAGCTCAATGGGGATCGTTATCTGTGTTTGAATTTCCATGGCCACGGGTGAGCCAGGCTCATTTAGTGCTGAGGCTGCCGGCTGATGAGCATCACTTTCATCACCAACTGCTGCTTATACGGCGGCTCCTTCACCTTCCTGAAGGCTGCATGTGAAAGCAGCACAATAAACGACTGGGGAACTCATTTAAGTTAAAAGTTGTGTTTATTGTACTATCACAACTAAAGAGATGACCCAAGGGTGACAAAAAGCAGAGGCTGCTTGAAACAAGCAGCGGTGCTGAAAAGTGTCAAGCCACATGACAATTAAACCCGACCCAAAACCTGGCCATTTCACCTGGCAAAGACAAAAGCCTTATTGTGGGCTAAACACATCTGTAAAGTCATCTGGAACTGGCAAACACAGCACTGCTAGGAAGATTTCCAGCAAGAGACTAGGACTCGGCAAAGCACAAAGGTGAGAATGCGTGCATAACAAAGCATAAAGCAAATCCAGCCCTTCCCCATCCCACTCAGTCTCAGAGATCACATTTTACCTCACCTACCATCAACATTGTAGACTTTCAGGCCAGCCATGTGCTTGGCTGCTCGGGATTTGGAGGCTGTTAACAAGGCTGGGTTGTAGACTGTGAAATCTCGGTAGTAATTTTCCAGAACCACCAGTGCAGCTCGTTGGATGCTGGGGAAAAGAGTAAAAACAAAATAAGATAAAATCCCTCAGATCGAAATAAGCTCTCTTGTTTCCTTAAAATATATAAAAAAAAAAAAAAAAAAAAAGGAAGGGAAGGAAGAATAGTGATATTACACGGAACAGAGCTGTCACACCTACAGGACCGTGCAATACACAGAATATTAATTACTCTCTCTAGGACCTGAAATTTCATTTGAGATGCAAGATAAGTATCTCTGCCCTCAGCTCAATAGGAGGATGTCAGGAAATCCCTAAACAAGGGCAGCACATAAAGTGAAGCACTAGGCTGCCTGCAGCACGGGAAATGACAGAACAAGAGCTCAGTACAGCCCCTGGGCTGCAGAGACCTTGCTCAGGCTGAAGACACAACACCACACGGGTTTTGCTGCAGCTGGCCAGCCTGGATGGAGGCACCAGCTCCGGATGGATGCTTTTCCCTCTGAGTCACTTCCAGCCGCACCTCGCAGCTCCCCGGACCTCCTCCATCCCAGCACCGACAAGAGTGTGATCTCTCGAGCTTTCACAGCAAGATAAGATCGCTGCCCGAGGAGCACGGCTGCCAGAGACGGGATTACTCAGTATTGCTTGTTAAATCCCTGGCTAGGGACAGAATGAGGAGCAGTGACACTCCTTCCATCCCTTTGAAGGGATGCCTCTACATAAAATGACGACACAAGGGAGCAAAACAAACACACGCGCCAGCAGCAGGAAAGGCTCAACCCAGAGGTATCTTCCTTTGCGATCATTTTGACATCGGAGAGAGATGTCTGTAGGCGCTGTTACCAACAAACAGGGCAGCACTTCAAAACAAGCCCGGGCTCTGGTGTTTAAGGATGCGGGAACAGGACAAGCTCTCTCCATGCTGCTCTGTCTCTGTGCCTCAGCGTGGCACCGGCACTCACAGCAAATCACCAAGATCACCCGTTCAGCCAAAGGGAGTTTGCCAAGGACCACACTAAAAGTAATTTTTGTGCGTTTAAAACTGAAGTGTAACTGCCAACACATTTGTTGCCAGTTAATTGGAAAGGTCACACTCACCAACAAAGCCTCTCTGAAGGAAAGCAAAGAAAGTATTCTCACACATGCTACAACACAGGAAGAAATAATTACAAGGACAGTAACGTGGGAAAACAAGACGTTAACAAATTAAGCCCTAAATTCAGTGCTCAGCGCTGCCACATATTCCACGTGCGTTCCAGGAGAAGCAATTTACATTTTCCTGTGCTTTGTGCTAATATTAAACTTCTGCATCACACCCAAGTAATTTAAACACACACACTCATCCCACCATCCTCACCACAGCTGCCACACTCCCACTGATCAGTGAATTAAGCACAGATGCCAGCCCATTCAAGAGATTGTGAGAAAGAAGAACAAACCCAGACTTGTTCACTGAGAAACTTCATCAGTCAGTATTATGGTACATCACCATTCACTTGCTGCGTACCTTAGAGATGATGACTTTAGCTTTTGAAGCAAATTCCATCCTTAGGATTATTTGGAGGAATCCAGCTAGAATGTATTAAAGAAACTTTACCTTTCAGGTGCCACTCCTTCATATTTCCTCAGCTTACATTTGGTAAAAGCAACTCCACTAATGCAATCAGCTACTGATTTGTGATAAAGAGCCACCAGTTAACTAAGAAAACAATCTTCCTTTGATAGAGAAGTACAGGCTGACCCACTGCCAGACGCACGTAGATGCTGACACAGAACAGGTGAAAGCCACTTTATTTCTCCCTGTAACATTTCTGATTTCTACTGTGAATTTGCTGCAGCCCATAAACAAAATTTCATAAAAGTAATAATGTGGCAGAAGCACATATTCCCCCTTCTGACTGCATTCAAACATGATCAAGTTTTTCCATCTCTGCTTCCCAGGAAGATAAAACTCCACAGAGTTTCATCACAAAACACCAAATCAAAACAGGAAGACAAAAATGAACAGAGTTGTTCTCTGTTAATACACTGTATTCATTTCAAACAGCACTGGAACTTCCATCCCACCAGTGGGAAATGTTTGGGAGCTCCACTGACCAACTTGCTCTATTAGGACAAAACACAGTGCATCACAGCAGAGAATAATTCATTTTTATACATACACATTCTCCCTAGACCCCACTGACAGCATTATCATCAGGATGCCAGCTTTCCCCACCCAACATACCTTCCATTCCCTCATTAAATAATCTTCCCCACCAATTCATTGGCACATGCACTCAAAATCCAAACATAACAAAGCTTTTACATTGCAGCATGCAACGATTATTCTGAACATTAAAGCCCAGGTATTTGTTGCTGATGCAAATCCAGTAGAGGCTCAATCCTACACATGAGATACCCCAGTCACACAGAGGAGACTGTTTTCTGGAAGAGAAATGTAATAAACATCAGTTTCCTGAATTTCTACCAGCCCATTTCTGTCTACCATGTAGTCCATCCTAAGCGTGGCAGGTTAGGAAGACAGCTACAACTACAACTCTTCCAATTCTCTGTTACAGGAAAAAAAATAAAATTAGAAGCTGCAGACAAGTAAATTAAAAGGCCCACAATGATTTGCAAGAGCAAGGAAAAGGCTGAATCAGAGCCTCCTGGGCTGTGTTGCTCAACCTCTTCACCCACATCAAGGGGAAGCCTCACCCTGGCTGGCGCAGGACAGCCAGCCCTGCCCCACACGGTGCTGCAAAGCCACAAGAACCTGTGTCTCGGGGTCTCTAGCTGGTCAGAGTGACCCTGAGATATGTTAGAAAGTCTCTTTCCTAGCCCGGCAGTCGAAGGAGTCAGAGCTCTTCAGTTCTCAGTCTCAAAAGTTGTTTGCTTTCTCCTGACCTGCCAAGGTCTGCTCAGCAAGACAGTCAGAGGCACTCTGCCTGCCCCTGGGGCAGTGTTATCTCTTTATACTAAAAACTACATATACAATGTTTACAATTACTTTCCAATACCTATCACCTATGTTAGACAGTGAGCTTCTACTCTAAACCAATCTAAAAGTGCCAATATCACAGCAGAAGATGGAGGCCAAGAAGAAGAAGAAGGAGAAAGGCTGGACATGCCCAGATTCCTCCATCTTGCCCCCCTGAACCGCTATTCTAAAAACCCCAAAAATCTATTTTTCACCCCATGATAAATTCACTATCATTCTACTTAAACCGTCATGGCTTGCAGATCTTCATCTAAGGTTGGTAACTTGCTCCACGGGTCATAATCAAAACCACAGGCATCTTGGGCTCTGTGCCAGGGTCTCTGAGCCCCCTGGCAGGGGTCTTGGCAGTCCAGGACAGCCAGAGGGATGTCCTGAATTCCGACACCTGTGCCCACCCTGGCATGGCAGGGCTCTGGAGAAGCACCACACCAGCAGGAGGGCAACCACGGGCATGGCAGCACCCAGAGCAGCCAGCAGCAGCAAAGCAAGCGCCCTGCAAGGAAACCTGCTGCCTCCCAAGAGCAATCCAGGCTCTTAGGTCTCCTCAAGCAGGGCAGACCCTCCGCTGCCCTGCGAAGCAAGGTGGAGCGGCCGCAGGAAGCCGCCTCTCCACCCACACGGCAGCTCCAGCGGCAGCTCCAGCGGGAATGGGAGCTGGCAGCCACCCTGGAGGCCTCGTCTGGAGAGGCGGCTTCCTTGCAGGCTGCCTCGGGAAGAGTTCAGCACCATGTCGGTCACTGCATTCATTCACCCCACGTTACAGCCAGCCGCGGCGGGGCTTCCCTTTTGTTCAGTGCTTGGAAAGAATGGGGAGGGGCAGGAAGAGAACAAACAGAAAGTTTCGATATTTAATCGCCCGTATGAAAGAGGTCAGAGTGAGGATTGTTCTCACGTCCCATCGAGAGGGTCTGGCAGCCCAGCACATTTCAGGCATTGTAGCAAACTACCAGAACACAGGAAAAGCATATCACAGAAATATAAAAATCATCATAGGAAGGGATCTTCAAGATCATCTCGTTCTAACCCCACCCCCCTCCACCCCCGCCATGGGCAGAGCACAAAAATCAGGACACAAAAAGCATTTCCATGGAACAGTTCAGATTCAAAACTTATGGCACAAGAGGAAAACCTCTTGCACGACCCAGCAGCCGACTGGAAACAGAGTTTTCCTGGCAGGCAGCGTCAGTGAGGCTCTGGGCTTTGGTGCGCTTTGTGCAGTTGGAGGGCTGCTTGTTTCTCATGATTAGTTTCAGTGCCCTGGAGAAGGCCGTGTCACAGCATGCTGCCAGGAGGGAAAGCAAACAAGCAGGCCCAGCACAGGCACACGGTACCCCAGCGGCGTTTGGCAGCAGAGAAATGCAGAGCCCTTTACTAACAGTAATGAATTAACTTTTACAGGGCATCCAAGGAAGTGGAGGAGGGGACTATGCGACACAAAGGTAGCAACTATTTTTTTCTCTCAAAGCCGTTTTGCCTGAGTACTTGCTGCTACAAAAGATTTGAATATTTGCAGTTTTGCCATACAGTGCGCCTCAGAGGCCACTTACTGTTTGCCTTCTGTGACACAACTACACCAACACTGAAATTGGCTTTTCTTAGTGGATTTCTAGGAAAACAGTCCAATACTATACTGAAGCAAAGCACAAGGAAAGAAGCCTGTTTATATCATCAAAATGCTGGCTTTGGACACTGGTGGTTTCTAGGAAAATGGGTTTGAGTTTTATGAAGTGGTGGGAGAGAGTCGGTGACAATAAAAAATAAGGAGAGGAAAAAAGATTAAAAATTGAATCCACACCTCTATGCATCTGTCACTCACATGGTTTTAGCAGTTTTGTGCTTTCCTGCTAAGCTAGAAACGTAGCCTTTCATGGTACTATACCAAACATCAGGAGACAGTGAGAATCATTGAGGGCAGAGGAGTGTCCCACACTTTTGCAATAGATCTGTGTACACATCCAGAAAGAGCTGAGCTGTTCTACCAGAGCATTCTTGCCATGGATGCAGATCTTGCAGCATCAGGGTTTAGAGTGAGCCACACACACCTAAAATACACAGGGATAGTCAG